ATTGAAGCATTAAAAATGAGAAATATTGAAGACTATGCAAAAATAACGCTACGTGTTCTGGCTAATGCTGGACGAGAATTTTACAATCTAGTGGGATACTGCTTAGTACAAGATGGTTTATTGTTTGAACACTTGTTATAGTTTTATGTTTTATGTTAGAAATTATCATAAATTATTTTTAGAAATAAGGATCACAATAAAACTATATTAAAATTCTTTGAATTGTTGTACACCTTAGAATTAAATTGGAGTGTATTATAATTTCTTACGTTAAATAAAGATCTGGCAGTGCTTGCACTATTAATTGCCTGAATACAACATTATTAAAATTTTTCGTGAACTGAGTACATTTCATCAATTTTATTGCTTTGTAAACATATAATTTATTATTTACAAAGTAATATTTATTGTCCACTAGTAGTAGTAGCACAGAATAATATACAATCAGGATGCCCACTTAGCTTGTCAATATAAGTATGTGGATTTCGTTCGCGCGGACGAAATTTAGCCATGTTTTAAACGAAACCAGTGCTGTTTAGTAAAATTTTGTCTGGTGTGCATAGAAAAATTAACCCGGTTTAATTTATTTACGGCAACCATAGACATAATGTGCACTATTTTATTCGTACTTTTAGTTGAAAAATAGATTAAATTATTTTAAATATACTAAATTAATAATCTCTAAATATTTAAATTATAGTTCTGTCGAAGCTTGTCACAAGTTTCTCAATCCGAGTATATGTTTCCGTTTAAAATATGGCGATCGCATGCTGGCACACTTCAAAGGCGGCATCTGAGATTGGGCATTCTGATTGTTATTTATTCTGTGGTAGTAGTATTTGGGAAAATTTGCTGTTTATAATTTAATCATACAATAAAAATATTGACAATTCAAATATTGTCAAACATCTTACATCAATATGATCAAACGCAATACTTCATACATATTCTTGCACTACGTGTGGCCTAACTTTCAGGGGTGTACGTTTAATTCGTAGAAAAATTTAAATATTTGTTTTTAATACAGATTTCAGTCCTATACAAATTGTTTTTTATGAATTTTGGTGTAAAATAATTAAAGAAGCAGAAATTCATCAATTTAGAAATGCTCATTGAGTTTCCTATGGCTCGTTTGTCGATTCACCACCCGGTATAATATGTCCGGTCTCAATTTATGACCAATTCCAAATCTTTTTCTATTATTACCATTTTTGAAGATTTAAATATTATAAATAACTAATAACATTTTTCTTTTTAGGTAAAACAAACCTGAAGGAATTTACATATTCAACGAAAAGGCCAATCCGTAACACCTCAACAAAGAAATCACCGCAACGTACTCTAGTTCAACCAGTTTTATCAATGAATCCATGGATGCTGTTTTCTTCAACCACAGCCAACTGGCTTTCCACAGTACAAACCACGCCGACTTTTTCCCAACTAATCTTACGGACTCTGAAGTTAATATCACTAGGACGTACTCCAGATTGACGTCGCCTTTAGCAGTGACAATAGCAGTACTACTAGTGTTCTTATTTTCGCCTATGATTTTAATAGGAAATTCCTTATTTCTCGTGGCCATGTATAGATTTAAAAGACTTAGAACTCCTAGTAACTATCTATTTATGTCGTTAGCTACTTCGGATCTCGGCATTGGAATGTTTATGCCTGTGGGAATGTATCTGGAGTTAGGTGGGGTTCAAAATTTGACCAGTATTCGAGTGTGCCTCTTCAGTTACGGTGTTGCCATATCATTGTGTTGTGTATCGGTGCTAGTGATGGTCGCTATCGCAGTTGACAGATTTACGTCGCTAGCGAGACCGTTAAGATATAATAACTTAATAACTCATACTGCCGTGGAAAGATATATAGTGGTGTTTTGGGCTTATTCGTCACTGGTCGGATTTACACCGTTGGGATACGCCATTTTAAATCATGTGGATCAATAGTAAGTATTGTAGATAAGAGTAGTATATTAAAGACTTATTAAAGATAGTTAAGCCTAAGTGTCAGTACATTCGTAAATATCTTGGATGTAAAAATTTCTTTGACTTCAATTAAATTTTACATCAAGTGCCATTATTTCAGTAGTCCTCCTTCTCAGTCCTAATCCCTTTTAAAATGTTGTGACACCACTAGGCCTTTACAGTTTTTTCACGATTTCCCTCCATCCTTTCCTGTCCTGGGCTAGTTGTTCGACTTCATGTAACCCTTGGTTTATAAATATTTTTGTTTGATCTACCCAACGGCTTGAGGATCTTCCCCTAGATCTCTTTCCTTTAACTCTACCCTCATAGTCGAGTACGATGGAACAACTGAAACTGTTCTTCTAGCAATGTGTCTAAAATCCTGCATATATCTCTGTTATATTTGTTTAAGCAATCTATCATTTACTTTAAGTTGTTCTAATATCGATACGTTAGTGCAATGATGAATCCAGGATATTCTTAACATGCGGTGGTATACCCACATTTCAAAAGCGTCTAGTTTATTTTTATCCGCTTTCTTTAAGGTTCACGTTTTGGATGCATATGTGTCTATGGGAAAAATAAGTGTTCCTACTAGCCATAGTTTTGTGTATATTGTTATGCTAGAATTTTTCCAAATGTTGCTACAATCTAGCGGAATTCCTTTTTTGGATATAGGGATGAAAGTGGACGTTGTCCAGTCGTTGCGTCACTCTCCGGTTTCCCAAATCTTTTTGTAGATTATATTCATAACAGTTACTCCAACATCTCCAGTCTCTTTTAAAATTTCTGCGGTGATCTGGTCTGCGCCAGGAGATTTTCTATTTTTTAACTTTTTTTGATTGTTTTTTTCACCTCTGACTTTAGAATGTTTGGTCCTCTTTGATTTGCATTGTGGGGATCATCTGCATGTAGACTTTAATAATATGTTCTCCATACCTGCGCAATTCCTATCTTGTCATTTATAATATGTTGGTTTTGATCCATTATTGTTTGTGTAATTGGTTTACATTTGCTGGACAGATATCGAACTTTGTTGTACAGCTCATGTAATTCATACCGGTTTGCATGTCTCTCTAGTTCTTCGCATTCTTCATTTATATGTTTATTTTTATCATACCTACATGCTATTTTAGTTTCTCTATTTAACCTTGCTAATTCGTTTTTGTTGCTGTCATTTTGATATATGAGAGATTTATTTCTTTTTCGTTCTTCGAGAAGTTGCAGCGTTCTGTCTATAATCCAGCGTTTTCTTTTGATAATCTTATTCTCGGTTCTGGTTATTTCTACAGAGGTTTCTATGGCATTATTGAAACCTTTCCACATTTCTTTTGGGTAGTTATCTTGTGTGTTCAACATACTAGTTTCCTTTAATCCATCTCTAAATGTTTTCGAATTTGAAATCCCCAGCCTGTTTTGATTTTGATGTGGCATTGTTCTTTTTAGCTTCATCTTGAAGCAAGTCCATAACAATTTATGATTGGATCCACATTTAACTCTTGGGCTAGTTTTTCGTTTGTTTAACATGTATTCAATCTGTTTCTAATCAATATGTAGTCGATTTGATTCTTGTACTCTCCATTTGGGCTGGTCCATGTTGATAAACGACGGGCATGATGTTTGAACATTGCGTTTACAATGGCCAAACTGTTTTCGATTGCAAAATCTATTAAATGTTCGCTTCGGTTGTTTCTAATATCTAACCCATAGTTTCCAACATTGAATGTTTCCTACATTTCAGTAGTACCAGGGATTTTATTATTGGAAGGTATTTATTGTTGCTTGTTTGAATCATTGAATAAAGGTATATTTAAAAATATCATCAAAAAACAATAATATTATTTTAAAAAGAAAATAGTGATTAAAAAGTAATGATTTTACAAAAAATTGTGCTGAATTTAGTAAAGAGCTTAAATAAGAGGTACAAATTAGAGGAAATTCCATGTTATTAGTGGAAACTGTTGATTTTTAGACAGCAGATAATTTCAAATAACTTAGATAAGGACAACATAGCTAAAAAACAGAAAAAAATGGTAATTTTATTTTTTTATATGATAGAACAAGAAAATCTAGCATTCATTACATACTAAAAATTAACTGTAGTTAGTAGAAATGTTATTCAATTCGTTGTGACTTTTAGAATGATAAAAGCATTTTTATTTAAATACAATACCTGCTTGCAACAAGTCGAAGTAATGAAGAAAGATAGGTACAATACAAATAAATATGTTTTTGTTAGGATATTCTATCTATCTAATTAGCCTTCTTCGGTCCATCTTTGGACATAGACCTCCCCAATCCTTTTCCATTCTTCTCTGTCTGTCGCTACAGTTATCCATCTAGAGCCCACGTGCTTCTTGATATCATCTGCCCATCTTATTTGGGGCCTTCCTCTGCTTCGTTTATATTCCCACGGTCTCCAACTTATAAGAATTTTGTTCAATCGGTCTTCTTTTTGTCTTATATTGTATCCGGCAAATCTCCATTTCAATTTTGCAACTTCTTGTCTAACATCCCTCATTTTTGTTTTCTCTCTTATCCACTCGTTTCTCTTCTTATCCATTAGTCGTATGTGCAACATTTGTCTTTCCATTGCTCTTTGTGTTTGTATGATTTTGTCCATGTTTGCTTTTGTAAATGTCCACGTTTGGGAACCATAAGTAAGAACAGGGAGTACGCATTGATTATATACTTTGGTCTTAAGATGCTGTGGATATCTTTTGTTTTTAAGAATGTAGCTTAGTTTGCCAAATGCCGCCCACGCCAGTCTAACTCGTATCTTGATCTCTGCTGTTTGGTTCTCTTTGTTAAGTTTTATAGTTGTTAGTTAGGATATTAAGATGAGTAAAATTCTAATTAAAGAGAAGTTTTAAAGAAATGAATAATAATGAATAAAGAATGAGCTGATTTTTTAGAACTTTGATATGACTTTATTTTAACTAAAAAAATCATATTTACAGATTTGACCATAGGATATGAAATCCTGCATGTTTAATAGAATTTAAAAAAAATTGTCAATTTATGAAGGAAACTATGAATAATAAAGTAGTGAGCATCGATATGCTGTACTATATATCGATGGTGGTAAGCCTACTTGAAGAAAGAACAAAATTAGTAGCAGACCAACGGCTTCATGTAAAAAAAAGAGGAGAAAAGAGCGCAACACAAACATGTCAGAGAAATGGAACTGGCAGAAGATATGCATTGAAAAGATATAGATGTATTAGATTTAAAAATTAAATTATGTAAAGAAAAATTTATTAAAAAACTTAAAAAAAAATTATATGTATTATTGTGATATTCAAAATCTTAGTGCGCCAAGCAATTAATTAGCTAATTATTAATTAGCTATTAATTAATTAAAATTATTTAAATGATATGATTATGATTCTATCACACTTTTTAATTATCTTGTCTCAGGGTTATATTCGTGCTTCAATATCTATACTTTATATGTGAAAGGTAAGGTCCAAAGAATACCTGAATAATAAAAAACATATATGATCTAACATTATATATTGAAATAAAAACAATGAAATAAAATTCACATTCAAATGTTTTTAATAAACAATATCTCATTATAATGATTCTCAAAATTTTGTTCTACGTACGTGAACCTTTAAAATTAATGGTACAAACAATATTAGTTAAAATTTCAAAATCCCAATTATTATTCTTAATCTCCTAATCAAAATATTTATATCTTTTCTAAAGTAATTGTAAAAATTGTGTTATCCATAAAAGAAAAACTGCAGAAAAACAAAACTATCTCTCTCTGATGATGAGTGGTGCAAATCCTTGTTCCTTGTAGCCTATACTATCTATTCTTAGCAGCTCCCTAGGTAATCAGCATCTTACAACAAATTGTTGCAAGTTTATCGTCCTTAATGATCTCCTTCAAATGCACGAATCGTTCAAATTATGCTAGCATCTTCTCCTCTCGATAAACTGAATCTCTCGTTGGCCTGAGTGAAAAATGACTCTTGGAATATCTTCTCTTTACGATAAACTGAATCTCTCGTTGGCCTGAACAGTGACTCTTGGAATATAAGTAGAAAAATATGACTTACAATCTTTTAGTGGATCAGCTTCTGTCAGATACACTAACTACACGAAAACTCACAAACTTTCACTGCTACTGCTTCATACCTCTGGGAAACTAACCGAGAACAGCCGTTCGCCTTGCACCCTTGGAAACCAACTGACTATATTTTTTTCTTCAAAAAACTAACTAAAGTCTCATTCTCAAACCAACCATCCCACCTTTTTTAATCTCATCCAATCAAAACGCGTCATACATCTCCCATTTCTTCATTTCGATAACACAAACAAATTTTTACCTACAATTATAAAATTTCCGAACATTATTTACAAACTAATCTTTTTCTACCAATTCTTATGAACTAACAAAAACATATCTTTCCAAAATCTATTCTATTGTCCTAATTACTGCACAAATTTATTTGGAAAACCCGCTTCCATTGTCTAGGATTTCACTTAAGCTTATTCACGTCACTCAAATATATTTTACAAAGAAAATAATTTATGCATATCTTAAGTTCTGTTTAATACAAGTAATCCAAAGATAATGGACTTTCATTCTTCGAAATGTTTGTAGTTTATTATTCGACTTATCTGAATTATTTTAATTTTTTGAACTTTGAAATATTTTAAGCAAACCAATACGTTTCTCGATTTTACATATCATAACAGTATATTAATGATTCTTCTGAGGTTTTCCCATAACACAAAAATATTTTATAGGGCTTTCAAAACATCTTTAACATAAGGAAGTTCAACAATGTCTTTATTAAGCCAAATAATCTTCAAAGGCATCTTTATTGGCTAAAATGAGAAACTTTCTTTAAATCCTGTTACATATCTGGAATTCATTATACAAATTTTCAGGATGTTTTAGTGAATTGTTTGAGTGGACTTGATCTCAATGTATCAATTATCCATACTTGGTTCAAAAAAAATATATCTAGGGAGTATCACAAAATTATCAGAATTTAAAATCAATCTTTGGTGTATTTAGAGCATTTATTATAAATTTTTAGAATGTTATGACACAACCTTGATATGATTCGGATACTTAAAGATTTATAACTCTGTCTTTTTTTTGCAAGTTACTGTTTTTGAGAATCATGAGCGGAAATTAACAATCTTTGGCAATGAATCGGCAATTTGACAACCTGAATTGGCAATTCGAAGAAACCCATCCTTTCCTGTTTCAGAAATCTTCTTTAATTAATAGCACCCATATCTCTTGGAAATGTTAATTTTAAGACACTTTAATCAAAAGATAATAAATTTTTACCGTCGAGATGATACAAATTTTATTTAAAATTGATTTCGCGAGTAAGTGACATTCAAAATCACCGGGAGCTTCAAGCGTTGTTTCTGAGAGAACGGTTTATTCTACACAAAAAGTGACAAATAATAGTTTTGTTCAAAATGATCTCAGCTACATTTTTTATTTGACGTAATTTTTTCTACAGCGTACAGATTTTTGATAAATAGATTTTTTCTGTTTTTACCATCCTACGAGAGGAGCTTTTAGGGGGAAGCCAGCGAGTAAAAGTGGTAAATTTTTTGCTTAAAATCCTTTATAAAAGGTATATAAAAATGCCCCAAACGGGCTATCACAAACACATTGCAAAACGTTTTCGGATTAAACAATCCATCATCAGTGCAAACCTGAAAGTATATAACCACTTTAATTAAAAAGGATCCTTACACATGTATAGTTGCCTATCAATCCTACAAAATTTCATAAATTCCAGTTGACCCACATTATTTTTAAAAAACCAATTTTCAATGTTTCAAATATAGCTATTTGATTAATTTACAATACAAATTACAATATTGATGGTTGATACTGTTACATTATTATAATTTTAACTTTTTCAATTTTAAATAAGGCCGACATCTGTCATTTTTAGACAACTACCGTAAGTTACACTGACTGCTCTGACACAATATCCGTCCTAACATGTCAACAATATCATTTTGATCAGTTGTTATCAACAGGTCCTCGTAGACACTTCGTCTCAGGACCATTTTACTCATGTAGAGTCATACGCCGCCATGTTACCTATCCAACGGTAACTTAAACATCACAAATTATAAATACTAATAATGTAAAACAACTACAAATTTAAAACATTTAAAGGGTTTTTACCATATATTTTGGTGGCTACTAGCATGTACAACCGTAAGTATTAACCACATTTTGCTCTAACCTTTGTCAACATTTTAATTTAACGTTCTTTTTAATTAAAGTGGTTATATACTTTCAGGTTTGCACTGATGATGGATTGTTTAATCCGAAAACGTTTTGCAATGTGTTTGTGATAGCCCGTTTGGGTCATTTTTATATACCTTTTATAAAGGATCTTAAACAAAATTTTTTTGTGATATATGGTATACAGCCAGCTACAGGAACTTAGTTTCGTCGTGAAATTTTTTGCATCTTTTTTGGGATCCCAATTAACATTTTCAGCAAAATGCAGACTCGGACTTCTGGACTATTTATATTTAAATATACTCATAAAAATTTAAAAGCATTTATTTTGGTTCATGTTACTGTGTTTTTGTCAAAGAAATACTGTGTATGAAAACTACTTTGAATACATGTATATTAGATTTAAAGTTGACGCTAGAGAAGTCAATTGTTGTAGAAGATGTGTTATTTAGCTCTCGTATAAATGCAACAGTATCATGTTGTGACATGCATATAAAGAGACTCTTGAATGGCCTACATTTTATGTATGCTTGCGTCGAGTGGACGTGTCTCTAATATATATTTTTATGTGATATCAATAGGGAATAAATAGGATACTTATATTTTTGTATATTTAAATGAGAAGAACAGACGACGAATGATCAATGTGCACATATTTTTTTGTTTAATTTATCAACTCAAAAGAATTGCTGTTTTCCATAGGTCTCCATAGGTAGACGGTGTAATTCTCAGGTCTTTTGTTTCCATTACTTCTTCAATACTGATGTCATCAATGTAGATATTTAGATGAAATGGTAGAGCTCAACTTTCAGGTTTATGCAAATCAAAGTCCAATACTTAGTACTTTACTTGGTAACTATTAATTCGAGTGAAAGAGCTGTCTAACGAATTCTTATAGTGTAACTGTGACAACCGCGCCCAACTCTACTGCTAACTGTTCCAAGTAAGGACACAAATATATCTTCTTTAATAAGCAAATACATCTAAGGTGAACTGTCCTGCTCGGGAATCGATCTACAAATCCTGTTATAAAAAAGGCACTTTTATTTAAAGTTACGATCACTGCACACTACAGTACGTGCGTTCTAAAAGAATATTAAAATCCACTTCTATAACAATATTAACTTACTTATAGTTATAAATCTTTGTGCTGATATGATAATTGGTCATATAACCAATCAAATCTAGAGTTTGGATTTTGAGGATCTACTGAAGCATTCAAGGTATCTAATATAATACTCAGTTTCTGGGTTTCTGTAGTTCCTTTATTTTGTAATTTGACTTCGAATTTTTAACCGATGGTAGTAAAATCACGCAAGCACGGTACTGAGGATAAGATTTTTAATATACATAAAGCGAAAAAGTTCTAAAATGAAAGACTTCTCATTATTAAAGAAAGTCAATTTCTTTCTCCACAAACGAAACTTAAAAGAGGCTCCTTCTCATTTTTTATTTCCAGAAAATTAATCGCTTCATTTAACTTGATGCCTATCTACTACCAATTATCTAGAAACTATTGTGTAATGATCACAGTTTACTGTATTCAGTACAATAGATTTTCAAAGTGCGTAGCATCAGATTCTAATACTTCCTCATGAATAGCTGTGCACAGCCTTTGAAGTCGTTGGGAAACTGTACTAATTTGTCTTATTCTATTTGGTGTTACCAATAGTGTATCTAGTTTCCAAACAACAATAGACTGAACTCTCTCTCCTTCAATCCTGACTCCCCAGGGGGAGTGTAGTGGTCGACGTGATGTCGTGTATTGTCCGTCTCCAGAGATCTCTGTCTCTGGTCATTTCTTTTAATTCATGCATAGGTCTTTGGCATATTCCTG